AAAAAAAAAAAAAAAAAAAAAAAAAAGCCGAAGAGAAAAAGAAACACGAAGAAAAAACAAAAAACAAAAAAACCAAAAAAAAACAACAAAAAATAAACAAATAAATGTGTGTCGGTGATTTTTTCGCGTCCGGCGAAGATTCCTTCTTTCTTCCCGTCGCATTTGCTGCAGGGTCAACGCGTCCGTTGCGAGATATTAATTATATATTTCAAAGATGGATGCAATTCCGAAATAAAAACCCCTTAAATATGTCACATGGCTCACGAGTTATTGAACCAACTCCCTCCCCCCCCCCGCCTCTTTTTTTCAACAGACACACACACATTATCGATATTTTACAATTTTTCTTTATTTCTTACACACGCAATAGAATTATGTACAGAATTATATATTTACATGATCTTTCCGTTTTACCACAATTCACTATATCGTAACGAAGTTCTGTTTTTTCTGTTTACAAAAATTTCTCTTGTTCTTTCTGACATATATCTTTGATATCACAAGAGAGGGAGAGGATTTTTATTTTCAAAAAAAACTCAACGATTTTTCACGCCAGAAAGATCGAGTTTTTTTCTCTTGACATTTGTCTTCGGCGTCAGAGCCGGTAGAACACAGCCCTTCGAGTCCGGGAGCAGAAGCCCTTTGTGTTCAAGTCGTCGAATGTACGTGGTGTTCGGTATCACCGAGATCGGTCCTAAATAACACATCTCGCGCGATCGATTCGCTTGCAGCGATCGATTCGCTCGGGCTACTCGCGAATTCTCGTTTTCCGCAATTTCCAATTCCACGTTGTTGTTCGTCGCTCTCGTTTCTTTTATCAGCGTCATGTGCCACCTGGAAACAATTTCTATTGTTTAAAAATAAAAAAACGAACGAAAAAAGAGATAATCTTCTCGTCATCAAGGGCCCGGGAACGAACCTGCCGGTGCTGCTACGACAGATTCTGGACGACGTTTCTCGCTTCTTGTTTACCGAAAGCGGATTCACCGCGGTTTCCTTCGCGACAAGCTGCTGCAGCTCGTTCGAGAATTTGTCCGCGAAGCCGTCCTGCGCGAAGAACGCGTGCTGCAGCAACGCGGAACACCTCGGCCTGGTCTCGGGATCCGTGCGCAGACACTGCGCCAGGAAGTCGATCGCCAACGGGTTCCACTTGGGGAAGAAACTCCGAAGAGCCGCGGTCGCGGATCGCGGCGTCCCCGCAACCTCGTCGACTTTCGCACGTCGAAGCGACGGATGCGAACGGCCGCTGTTTACCACCGACTGTTTGCCGTAAATAGGACCTTTCGACAGCAACGAGATTCGAAGAGAATTCAATGTTTGAGAGCGTATCTTATTGTACACAAGATGTTAAATATATTTATTTATTTCAACGTTTTTTGTGTGAAGTATCCAAATCCATCCTTTAAAATTGCCGATCACTGCGCGTCCCGTTTTTTTCTCGACTTACCGAAGAATTTCGTGATGCGATACAACTGATCGACGTCGCTGTCGCCGGGAAAGAGCGGCTGGCCAGTGACCATCTCGGCGTAGAGACAGCCGGCCGCCCAGACGTCGATTCCTCTTCCGTATCTCGACTCGCCGAATAGAAGCTCGGGCGCGCGGTACCATCTCGTCGCCACGTAATCGGTACAGGATTCGTTCGGTCCGGTGATGTGGCGCGCGAAACCGAAGTCGCACAGCTTGATCACTCCGTTCGGCGACACCAGCACGTTCTCGGGCTTCACGTCGCGATGCATAATCTGTTTTCGCGCGAAATATTAAATAACAAAATGTTAACGGAAGTAAAATTTATTTCAATTACTCAACATCTGTCTTAAAAAAAAATTGTTCACTAAATGGGTGATTTGAAAAACTAACGAAAATAAAGCAATAAAAAATCAAGAATATCGCGTTAAAAAAAAAAAAAAAAAAAATTGATTGATTTAAGCAGCTTTTGCTTTGAATTCTCTCTTTTGGTTTGACTGCGCAAATGCGTAATGTTTTCCGTACACGCTACGGATGTTCCGTGTCGAGCTCGAATGCACAGCGCGCAGCCACTGGCCCCGTTTGTTACAATGCTATCATTCATTAACGTCCGCTGCCATTGCGTGTTGGTATACACGTGTACGCGACTTGCTGCAACTTGGAATTTAAACGTCACGGCCGTGAACTTTGCCGTAACGAAGGCGCGTGTATTGCCAAAGGTTGCCGATAAGCGAGAGAGGTGCGCGTTTCATTCCGGAGAACTTTTTAAATGTGTATATACTTTTCAAGTGTGTCGAAATTTTCGCGAAATTGCACGAAATAATCATTTGCGTCGCGAATTTCAAATAAGAAAACGCGCGAGGAGGAAGAATCTTCTCTTCTCTTTTCGCTCACTTTGTGAGTGTGGCAGAAGTCCAAACCGCGAAGTATTTGGAAAATGTATTTCCTCGATTTTTCCCAATCGAGGCCACGTTCGGTCTCCTCCAACTCGTCGAGCACCGTGTGATCGAGATACTCGAACACGAGATAAACCCGCTTTCTACGTCGAAACACCTCGATCATGTTCACCAGATTCTCGTGGCGCAATTTCTGAACAGAATCGAAATTTTGTTTATCGAACAACCACAATTATTGCGCTCTATTTATTTTAATTGAATGCAATTTTTAATTTCAATCAAAAATATCGCCTACCTTCAACACCTTTATCTCGCGAAACGCCATTTTTCGCACCTGCACGTCCTCCTCCGTCTCCAGAAATTTTTTTATCGCCACTATCTGTCCGGTTTCGCGATGCCTGCACTTCATCACCAGTCCGTAACTTCCCTCGCCCACTATCTCGATATTTTCATACTTTTCCATTTCTTATTTATACATTCGGGAGAAGACTTTTGCGTCGAAATCTCGGAATTTTTATTCACACGCGCGCTAAAATATAGTTAAATTTTTTTTTGTAAATAACTTTAGAAAATATGGAGAAATAAATTTTTTTTTCATTTTTCCAAACAACAAATATTTAAATGCCACTCCTCACCTTTTGGACGATTCGAATTCGCAAAGAATTTCTCATCTCGTGCGAACTTCAATCAGTTCTCGATCCAATCCCCATTTTCGTCGCTTTAATATCGTTTTACATGTCCCGTAGAAAATTTACGAATACTTACAAAGACGCGATTAACGTTTAATTTGATACGTGAACCGCAACAGCCACGATTCTCTCGACGTTGTCTCGCCCGTCGACGAGTCTCAACTGCCCCCGAAAGCCTCGTGCGCGACCCTCATCGATGATTATCGATCTGCGGTGTAATTAGTCGGGGGGTAGTCCTTCCTCGACGAAGGCACGCAGGTAAACCGAAAGAAGGAAATTGAATTGATAGTATAAAAGAACAATAAATTCCGTATACACAATAAATTATTCCAGATATTTGAATTTTTTTTGTAGAATGTGTTTAGAGAAGAAAGTTTTTTAACGATCGCAGAGAACAAACAACCTTCCCGATTCCGATGTCTAACGTGACGACTTCGCGCGCGACCAGTTTTCGCTCGACACCCTATCGATGATGACTCGAACGATCGTTCGAACGACTATGACAATTTTTTTCTCATTACATTACACATCGCGACTTGTCATGGCGATTTGTTGTTCGCAACTCGGCGAGTATAATCGATACACGCGAATAGCAATCGGGAGTTTATTTATAGAGAAGTTCGGTGACTCTCTCCCTGATATCGTGACCAAGCCCCAAGTCCCTTTACATCGACGAACGCGATCCCGACATCAAACAGTAAAAATGTCTATAAAGAAATGCACGCGTTCTCGTTACGTATCTCATCTCCGCTCAGAAACCTTCGTCTTCGAAAACGTCTTTATTCTTTCTGCCACGTCGTTTATTTATTTATTTATTTATTTTTTTTTTTTTTTACTTAGACATCTGAGAAGAGCAAATACTTTTCGCAAAACATATTTTCGAGGACTCGGGGAGCTGTCGAGGGGAGACGTCGGGAAAAAAAATGTCCGGGAATATGTTCGATGGACGTGTGACGCGTGGGCGAAACCGCGTCTGTCAAGCTCACGTGGACCACGACCATGAGTAACTCAGCGCGACGCGGATTCATCAAGAGTGGCGTCAAGAAGGAGCCGCTTGAGAGTCGCGCGGTCCACTCGGAGGCGTCGTTTCGGGTCGAGAGCAAGCACGGAAATAGACACACGCTGCATGGCGGGGCTTTTTCTCTCCTCTCTCTCTCTCTCTCTCACTCTCTCTTTCTCTTTTCTTCTCTCTCCGTTTCTCTGTGTGTACATCCGTCTGTCTCCGCGCATTCGTTCTGGCGTTTGGTCCAACGCGGAATCGTCTTCAGTGCGTTAATATGACGCGCGAAGAACGCGTCGTACTCGGGAAACGAGCGCGCACGGAGATATCCGCGTTTCATCACGGCAACCTCGAACAAACGAACTCACGAAAAATTCTCCGCGAGAATTAAAAATTGAGAAAAAGAAAAAAAAACACACACACACACACAACGCGCTCCGACGTGTGTGTTGATTGTTTGCGTGGGAAAATCGCGCGTCGGATAAATACAAGTGACATAACTGCGCCCTTGTTCCCGGGGGGCGCTACGTTTTTTTGAAAGTTCGCAGCTGAGAAAAAAAAAATCCAAAGTGTGATAATCGTCCGATTTTGTGCGCGCGAGTATCGAAGAGAGGAGAGATGACAAGGGCGTCGATGCGACTTGCGAAATATCTCAAGTGAATTTTTCTCGAAAAAGAGACATTTTGTGTGATTCATCGAGAATTTTCTGTGAGCCGCGATTTGACGGGCGGATTTCGCTGGATCGACACCAAGATTTCGCGAGAAATCGGATAAATTTAAATGCGCGAAAGAGAAAAACGCACGGGCCTCCCCCCGAGAACTTTTCGCGAATGAAGCGAGTTCGCCCGACTAGTTAGAGAGAGAGAGAGAGAGAGAGAAGGAGCGACATCGGCTCGAGCCGAGAGAAGAAAAATATCGAATCGGAAATATCGCGTCGAGGAATCCACGAAAAATAACGACACAAGACGCGCGCTTCGCCACAATGCTGCGCGTACGACGAGAATACACGTCCCGGTGCCATGTGAGGAGAGACGAGGCGACGAGACCGACATGCGCCAGCGCGTGAGAAGAGAGACGCGTAAAACCGCGTTCCGGCGTTTAAGTTAAAACGCTCGTTTTTCGAAGAGTCCGTTTAATCGGAAGGGTTTTTGACGCGCGCGCTTCCGCGGGAGGAAGATGCGGTTTCGTGAGAATCCTCCTCGAGCTGGGACAGCGAAATCGGTGAAGTTCCAGACGGAAGAGAACGACGATCCAACGCGCGCTCGAGACACCAGCTCGGTAAAATTATAGTATCTTCGTTATTTATTTATTTCTTTTTTTTCTTGACTTTTTTTTTATCATCTTTATCAGATATCTTCCGTATCAAGAGGTGCAACGAGGTATCTTGAGATTTCTCTTCAATGCCGCGAGTTCGACACGGCGCGATTGTAGAATTCAAATAATTAGAATTAAAAAAAAAAAAAAAAAAAAAATACTTTCTATGGAAAATATTAATAAAATTCGCAAGAGTTTCGAAGAATTGAAAAACGCGCGAATTGAATAGCGCGTAGTTTCGCCTCGTTTTCTCTCGCACCGAGAGCGCAGGGAGATGATAAACGATCGCCGAAGGAAATCATCGTCGTCGGCGAGACGATCCGACGGTGCTGTCCGAGGCCGATAAACAGTGTGCGGACCGATTAGATAAAAATATGGCCGCCTGTCATCCGACACCTGCTGTGCAGCGCGTGCAATTGCAGGACTCGACGCGAATCGGCTACGGCGCGATCAACGGCCTAGGTGCTTCGAATCAGAAGACTCTTCATCAGCAGACGAATTACCCGCCGCATCTTCTCAACTGGGTCTATCTGGCGATCGCCGAGCAGAATCCGTCTCAACCCCCCGATCAGGTAGTTACAATATCCGCGTGACACTTGGAGATTCATACAAGAGTCTCGTAATGAATCTTTTAAGAATCGGCGAGCGGATTGTTGGTTTGTATTTGTGTAGAGCAAACTGCTCCCCGCGGTCTGGAGCAACTTTCCCGGCGCGACCTCGCAGCCGTATTTGCACCAGGGTGCGTTGAATCCGTCCGGATCCATCAGGTCCATGAGAGGCAACAGGGCGGCTGACAATATAGCGGATCTAGCGGAGTTGCCCTACTTCAATGATCTGACCTTAGGCGACAAGAAGCCGATCAAGAGACCACCGTCGAATTATCTTTGTCACTTATGCTTCAAGAAGGGTCACTACATCAAGGATTGTCCGCAGGTTGGTTTATTTCGATATTAAAAAAAAAAAAAAAAAAAACATGTCGAAGGGATGAATTTGATCAGCAACCGATTGAAAAGTTCAAATAAAAACATTGCGGAATTGAAATCAGATTGTCAGAATCTAATCTCTAACGTACACCGCAATGGGTTCTAATCTATGATATCGTAGCCTTGCACTTCCTGTGTATATATATTATATATATATATATATATATATATATATATATACATATACTCACCTCTTCTATCGTTTGATTGATAGCGGAACTTCATCGTATCGCATTATCGTCCGTGAAAGATAAAACACAAGGTGGTAGTGGCACATGCACGCACAAATGTTTTTATTGCTTTCCGCGATAGAATAGTTATAAAAAAAAAAGAGAGAGATAAAATAATCTCTATCTCCGAAATTGTAACTAGTTCACTGGCGAATTCAGTGTGAAACGCGCGGGGCACGGCAACGAACTTACGGCGTATTGCGCGCGGCTTAATTGAGCGCTAATTGACACAACAAACGGGCATCTCGGAGGAACACGTGACGTCACACACGTTCAATCGTCGCGGTATGCGCGACGAGGGTGAGCCGATTAAATTGCCGGCTAAGGTAATGTTTCTCACCCAAATTGTTGACATATTGTTATTGTCTCCCCGATAACGAATTTTAACGCACAAATTGTTTGTTGGTCTCGAAAAATTAAAAATTCAAATATTTAACTTAATCCGAGTGCAAAGTACACAAAATAAATTTTAATTCGAACATATCCCGGTAGAAAATTTTTCATATATATATACTTATACACAAATTAAAATAATTTTATCTAATTATGCAAATTTATATGCCGAATATAATCCATACAATTTTATACACGGAGAATTTCTTTTTTTAAGAGAATGGCTTCAGAGATATTCCATATCAAATTACAAAATAACTCTATTAGTATCATGTTAGATACAAAAAAAATGGTATAAAACTATATTTTTACTATATTTTTAAAAAATTTTTGATATGTAATCATATATACTTATACGCAAATTAAGCTTATTATATCTAATTATGCAAATTTATATACCGAATATGTCCATACAATTTTATACATGGAAAATTTTTTACTGGGTATATACGTTTGAACCAAGCGTTAGGGTCGTAACGAGCCTATATGTTGGATGTGCATGTGTGCAAATATATTATTTAACTTAAAATTTCCTTAGAATCGATCAAGAGTCGATCTAGAATCTTCCTTAGAGTCGACATTCCATTAATTCTGCTATTTTAGTTTGAAATTTTCACGAGCATTTAAATTGTTGTTACGTACAATACTCGATTGTGAATATAAAACCTCTTCGTTCACATAAATCTTTGCAATTAAAATTTTTAAATAAATTAAAAAAAAAAATTTTTTTTAATAAATTATCGTGAAAAGAGAGAGAAGAGAGAGTACTGTTTTTTCAAGAAAAACAAAAATCTGAAGCTCTCCCGAACAAACTCACTTGACCACTTCGATTTATCGACAATCGATTCGACGACTGTTCGCGTACGCGCCGCTCATTGAAATATTAAACTTCCGCAGGCGCGGCCGAAGGGCGAGGGTCTGACGCCGTACCAGGGTAAGAAGCGGTGCTTCGGCGAGTACAAATGTCCCAAGTGCAAGCGCAAGTGGATGTCGGGCAACAGCTGGGCCAATATGGGCCAAGAGTGCATCAAGTGTCACATAAACGTGTATCCTCACAAGCAGGTGAGACCGAGGGAAATTGCGTAGGAGAGAAGAGAATCTTCTTCCTCCCGGATCGGGGGATTCGCGTCTCGAAGTCTGAAAAGACTCTTGGAACCGTTTTTGCTCTCTCGAAATATTACGCGGCCGAGAGAACGAAATATCGTATGTAAACCGGCGAAAGCTAATTATAGTCACATAATCGCGCTCGCTCGTTCTCGCCGCCCGGTGCGCAGAAAATATACTCGCGGTCGTGGTCGTCGGTAATTGTTACGTTATCCCGATCGGACAATCGCTAGATTGCGGGCGAGTTGAAGAGAATAGAATTAATTCATATCGCGCCTACATCATCGAGCGTTTTAATTTTCTTATTTGAATCAGAGACCACTTTATGATCGAGCGCGCACACATACATACACACATACACAACTTGTCATAAAAGATACGATTGATTTCTATATTTTTCCTGTAGTCAAATCACAAGGGAGAAGTATATATTAATTATTTTATAACAATACATTAACAATAGATAAACACTAATTACACAACTATAGCAATATTATTATAAATAATATCAACGGAAAACACACCACTTTTTTATACACAAGATAAGAAAAATGGAAAAAATGTTCTCGCTCGCACAAGAGAGAGAGAGAGAGCGACGCTCTCTCGTTCTCGGCAAGCAAAAGCACGCGCAGAGAGCGCGCGTGCGAGCGCGCAGGCAGTAAAATCGTTCCGTCTTTATTTTCAGAGGCCGTTGGAAAAACCCGATGGTCTGGACGTGTCCGACCAGAGCAAGGTCCATCCCCAACACCTCTGCGAGAAGTGCAAGACATTGGGCTATTATTGCAGACGCAGCGCAATAATGGCCTAACGCGCGCGCCGATCTCCGTTCGATTTTTACTTCCTTTTTTTTCTTTTTTTTTTTTTTTTTTAAATCGCTGGAAAGAAGAGAGAGGGGGGAAAAAAAACGATCTCCGGCTAACTACGAAGGGCAAGTCGTTTTTTGTTTTGTCGTTCGTTTCTCGGGTAAACATGTGCACTCAGGTTGTGGATACAAATAAAATAAAAGCGTTCTATCCGTTCTCTCGGATCACGAGCGAGAACGAACTGCGCGAAAAGAAAAAGAGAGACAAAACAAAACAAAAAAAAACACAAAAAAAAAAAATAAAATATTTTTATGTACATTTACGCGATTGCGAAGAAATTTCGGAATTATTCTTATACTTCAGGGAGTTCCAGGGATGTGAACATGATACGTGTATATAATATAAATCTCTTATTTATATATATATATATGTGTGTGTATGTATATATATATAATTCAGTATATATATATTATTTGCACATATGTACAATTTGAGCTACGATGTCGCGCGATCGAAGAAACGTTTGAATTTGTGTCGAAGTTGCATTATATATATATATATATATATATGTATAAATTACGGGAATTGAGACCGGGTAATGCGCGGGGAATTGAATTCTCGACGCTGTAACTGACGACGACGCGAAAAAACGACGCGACAATAAAATATTATCCGCATCCCGAAAACGCGCTTGATTTTTTCGATCGGCGAGAGAGATCACTGCTAATTAGATAATAATCGTCTAGAATACGAATTCGGACATGCGCGAGATGTTCGTGCGCGCACGTCTCAACTACTGGAATTTGTATAATTTAATAAGAAGGAATTGTTTCTTTTTCTTTTGTCGATTGAGAGAATCGACTTATCCGACAATAATAACTAAGTAAACATGTTGATATCAAGACACATCGATAACTAATCAGTCAATTTCCATCCTTGAGAAAATTTGGCCTGTACATCACGAGCGTTGTTAGCTCCTCTTGTCTTTGGTGAGACACAAAAGACTCGAACGTAAAGTACACGTCAGAGTGTGCGGCTTTTAACCTCCCGTCTGCTGTGGTTTTTTTTTTTTGTTTACCAACGCCGTCCGCATAAACCGGGTCTGAGAGACCTAGATCTATTTTTTCTTACCGTTGTAGGTTTTAAAAAAATCTTAGAAAATTCTGAGACACTTTGTTAGGGGTCTCTGCTTTGATGTAGAAGCGAGATACTCGAGCGAAATATTAAAAACTCTTTTGCAATAAAAATTTGAACGAAGAAATTTGTAAACTACGAAAAACTTATGGGAAAAAAGCTTCTTCCAGAATCTGGAAATTTTTACTGGAAATTTTCACTGGAAATCCCCATCGTGCAGACGGAGGGTTAAACGAGTGTGTTGAGAGAATATTCGTATCGTGTTCGTCAATTCGTTATTGCTAAGATTTATGCGACAAGAGACTTGTTAAGACGCCGCACGACAATCTTAACAACAACGCGTGTAATATCATGTACAACATTATTTATATATAAAATGAAAGAGTGCCAAATATACAAACCAAAGATACGAAAAAAAAAAATAAAAAAAAATAAAAAAAAAATATTCGCTACGTAAAAGTAGTATCCTTCCTTCGGGTTGTTGCTCTATTTTGAAACGTTCCTATAACATAGTTATATATTATATTATACTCCATCGCGTTCTACAAATCTCACGATTCTCACACACATCGTAGAAAGATAAATTTTTATACAATACAATTTACATAGAAAATGTACAGTGGTCAAGGATTAGTGACGACGAAGAGAAGATCCGCAGCCGGATCCTCGTTAAAATACGTCGCGGAGTTAAACGTCGCCGCCGCCGTAGAATCTACGGTCATCGTCTGCAAACAAAACATTCGGAGATTACCTTCCACATTCGCCAATTGGACCAAAAAAAAAAAAAAAAAAATAAAATAAAATAAAATCAACTATTTGATTTACTTTTTCAATTCGACACGTTAATTCGTGCATATTATAGACGGTAGCATTGAAATTCTACGGTATTTCAGTCGAATGCAAAGACACAGTTTTAATATTTTGTTTGAAAGTCAGTTCGATCGTGTCGAAACGAATGGCGAATTTTCCGCCCAGATCCCTATTAAGACGCAAGACAATGATTCACCTCGGGTGGAGACGCGTACGGCGAACTCTCCGTCACTGGGTGTTGATACTGTTGCACCTGTCCGTACGATTGCTGCGTACACTGCTGTTGCATCAACAGTTGCTGCTGCTGCTGGTGCTGTTGTTGTTTCCACTCCTCGTATTGTCTCATCGCGAGGATCAGCTTGTGATTCTCGTCGGTCATCAGATTGACATTTGGCGTCGTCGGGTTTTTGATCAACTTGGTTAACTCTTCCTCGCTCGATGACATTCGCTGTAACTGCGGTTGCAGTTGTTGTTCGCCAGTTGCTTTGTCCATCAAAGTTGCCGGTTGGCTGGTCGATTGACGAAAATCGAAGATGCTCTGAGCAACAGGCTGCACCGCGACCGGACTCGACACACTCGGCGGCGGTTGCCTGACCAAGGTGATAACCTGTTGTTCTTTTGTCTCGGTGCTGAACATCAACGACGACAACGAAACCGGAATCGGAACATTAGGTTGCGCAGCGTTCACGATGTCCACAGGCATCGCCGCCGTAATAGTCCGCGAGTCTACGTTATTCTCGTTAGGGAAATTACGTTCGACGTCGATCGAAGGAGCAGTGTTTTCCGGTTGCGGCGCTATAGGTCCTAGAAAGGTCGCCGGCTGCTGCTGACCGACCAAGCTGATTACTTGCGTTTGCGACGACTGTTGCGGTGACTGCGGTTGATAATGCGATGGCTGCGGCGAATGTTGCGGCGGTGACGGTAAAACCGCGACAGGAGGTGGATCTGGGAAGAGTTCCGTTCTGAGATTCGGCAGAAACGCGTCGATCGCTCTCCACGTGGGCGCCCAGAGATTTGAACTTGGCGCCAGAACGTTAGCCGACGACATTACGAGCAGCATGTTTTTCAGCGATTCGGGAATTGCCTCGAACAGAAGCTCGCTGTTGTCGGCGTGCATATACGCGCGAAGGAGTTCCAGCACGGTCAACCACAGCGGCAGAAAGCCGGATAGCGTTAACAGTGGATTTAGATGATGCAAAAACACTTTGGAGAGCAACATAGCGGCCCGGACTCTCGTCTCCTCGACGCCGATCGGATCGTTGGACGCGATCGGACCCAGCAGTTGCGCCAACAGCGGGAACAGTACTTCCTCCAGACACTGGGACCATTCTATGGCGGACAGCTGCGCCATATCGTGCGCCAGCAGAGTGCTCTGAAGATTTGTGATCGCCTCCGTGCGCACTGATCTGCGAGAGTCGCAGCAGAGACGCGCGATACCCTGGAGCAGAGGTCGCCAAGCCTGCGGCCACAAAGATATACTCTCATCGATGCTACCTTCTTCCGCCCACCATCTAAACACCTGCGCGATCCTCGTGTGCAACGTGTACATCAGATCCAGCAGCTGCATGGGACTTTGCTGATAGCCAGGCGCTTCCTCCGTGGCGCTGGACATTCGACTTCGTTTGCCAGTACATTGCAGCACCGCCTCGGCGAATGTTCTCACGCAGTTGACGCAAAGATCGAAGTTGAAGGGCGTCACGTGCGCCATGTCGCGCACCAGAAAGTTCAGGCTCTCGCAACACTTGACGAACGCCGCCGAATCGTGGGACTGCAGATCGCGCGCGAGAACTATCGTGTCTGCGGCGACAGGAAGCGGCGCCTCGGTGCCGGTCGGTGACACCAACACCCATTCCGGCACGGGACTGATAGGTCTGGGATCCAAGACCGAGGCCCGAGCGTTTGCCGTTTCGTCTAGAACCGTATTGGATCGTTTAGGTGCCAGCGCCCCGGCACCCGCGCATTCCAACAGACTGAAAACCACTTTCCAATCTTCCGCGCTGTGAATGTTCGCGGCCCCCGTTTTCAGCAACTCGAACAGACCGTAGGCGATCTGACGCGCCAACGGCGCGGTCGTCGCGGACGGCAGATGAGTCAGAGGTAGTAAAGGGGACAGACACGCAAATTCTTCGCCACGTAAAAGTCTGATCGCCAGTCTAAGCATGCCCACGGCCACTCTCTCGAGCAGATAAGGATGATTTTCGCGCGCCGCTACGGTTAACAGGCGATCCAAATGGCCCTGCACTACCGGCCAGATGCACGTCACTCTGTCGCGATTCTGTATGGTTACTTCTAGCAGCAATTCTAACAGAAATATAGATATATCCTCGCTGGTGGAATTTACCGATACCAGAGCACCAACCAGGGAATTGAGCGACTCGTTCTACAAGATAATAATATAGCCGTTAAAACATATCAAAGTTTTAATCGGATTTCATATTATTAAATCGTCGATTTACCTGAAAGAACTTGCTTTCTTCAATAATTTCCTTCAAATAACAATTGGCAATGAACTCTATGGCTTTCTTTCGCGCGGTTGCCTCAGCGGGATGCGGCAGACGCGACGTATCCATGGCTATGTAAGAATAGAAGGTGGACAACAGTCCTTGTTCGCTCGGTGAAGTTTTCGGCGTGGTTGGTTCTCGAAGCAGAGATATCTTGCCGGACGGATCGATGAAATCCTCCGCCTCCGTAAGATTCTTCGGCAACAGCCTCGCCTCGTAGAGCGACAGCAGACAATCGATGATGTTTTTCCAGGACGCCCGGAGAGCGTCCCCGTGCAAATGCGTGATCTTGAACAGAGTGCGAGCGGCCAATTGGGACTTGGCGCTCCCGCCGAGATGCAAAACTATTTGCTCGGGCTTTCCGCCGATGATCAAGCCCGTGAATTTGCAGAGGCTGACTATCAGTGTGTCCAGGTCGCTGCACATGCCGTGATGAGCGCTGATCGCCGCGCAACTGAAACAAAAACTCGAAATTAATTCAAGAAATAAAGTTTACGCATAGAGAGACGGCAGAAGACAGTAAAAAAAACCTCAGAAATGTTTGAGCAACTTTGCGCTGCAGCGATCTGTCCGGCGCTTTATCGAAAGCTCGACAAAGCGCGCTTATAATAGGACCCCACGCGTGCTCGGCCAAGTCTCTGTCGATGTATTCGCCGGAATTGCCGACTTTTAAGTACGCGCCTTCGGGACCGACGCCTCTCCTCAACAAAACTTTCCACAGATAATTGTCCTTCACCAGTCCGGTTTGCTCGGCCGGCATTACGATTTCTTCTCCTCTGCCACAGATAAAGAAGACAAATAACATCATGTTTGCAACACTAAAACAACAGACGTAATCGGGGGAGGGTCCTCAACTCACTTAATCGACGCGTATATTTCGTCTAGCATATCCTGATCGAAATCGGCATCGCCATTTACTTTCTTCAGGTTCTTCTTGAAACCTTCAGCAGTCATGGGATTATTTTGTCTCTTTACGTTACAGTTGTGCTGATCAACATTTAACATGATCACAGCGTAAGCTAATGTGAAAGCGGCGTCGGCCGAGGCAAACGGTCTACCGTTGCTATCCTGAAAACAGAAACGAGTATTTAAAAGACTCAACCATTTTTAAAACACATTCGGTCAATTATAAATTGTTAATAATATTATACACTCACGTGCCAGTGCTCGGCGAACTTTTCGAGCAGGAGGGATATAAGCGGCGCCTCGCCCGGTAACCTGAACGATTCGAGATAGAGCCGTAAAGCCTGATCGATTCGCATGTTTCTCAGATCGAAATTGTGAACGAAGTGATTGAGAATGTTCTTGTTTTCCTTCTTGCTGATGTACTCGCCGATCGCTTTTTTGTCCAGACCGGGATTCTCTCTGAGAAGCTTCGCGATTTTTTCCGGTTCCGCCTGGCCGGGAGTTTCGCCCAGAAGACCGTGCTCCGTGAGTTTCGCAATACCTTCTCGCGGATTCTCGTTGAACTTCTCCGTGCCCAGGACCATCCACTGGAAATGGCGAGAACTCCGTTTTATCTCGTTACTTGCCTCCGAAATGAAGAAAAAGCGAGCGCTTACCCATTTGTTCGTTTTTATGGTGAGCAGTTCTTCACGCGTGGGAAGATTCGGCGAGGTTTCGTGACGCGACGGTTTGCACAACTCTTTGCAACCTTTGCAGCGAATCTCCATGCCGGTAATCAGCATAATTATGGCATCCAACGATATCAGCTGCATGCTGTGCATGCCGTTGGTCATCAGTATCGAAACGTTCTGAAAAGATTTTCGGAGACGTTGTCCTGTAGAAAATCTTTAGCACACAAAAAAAAAAAAATCGTGTACAGCATGTAGAAACGCTGTTGTTACCTTGGAGAACATCTTCATAAGTTCCTCGTACAGGTTTGTGGAATAAAATCCGCAATCGTAATTTAAGTATAACTCAGCGGGCCAACCGGGTATCCTCCACAATCTAACTATAGCCTCTATAAAAAGAATTTATATGAAATAAATTGTTTTTATTATACGCGCGTGTCACACGCGTGTCAAAAAATTCTAAAATTCATTCACGTACCAAGCGCTAATTCTCGTTGCTCGTACGATATTTTGTTGTATTCAGAATTAATTATGTCCATTAATTTAATTACATAATGTTCCATTTGAAATTTGAGATGTTCCCTCTGCGATTCGAACAGCAAAAAGGATACTTGAAGATTCACAGCGAGGATCGACAATCTGTCTGTCCTGAGTAGCTGATGAAATGTGAAAATAGAAACGCGTTTGTCGCGGTACGTACAATTTTAATCAACAAAATATTTGTCACATTTTCTTGACGAAAATGAAAACAACGTTGGGAGTTTGTTTAAATGCGTTAGTTTCTTACCAAGATAAGATTTCTGCACAAGTCGTCCTTTACGAGCGCGAGCAAAGACGAGAAATTTGAAATGGCGTCGGCGGCAATCTCCAACGCCACTTCCAGCAAACTGAGGCCCAGATGTATCATGATCTCGTTGTTCTGTTTGTCGAGAGGATTGCATATTGAGATGAGAAATCCGAACAGCTCGCGCACGCACAACGCGCCGTACGGCGCGCATTGCTGCAACGGGATGAACCGGACACCCTGACTGTTGACGTACTCCTCGATTTGTTCGGGCTCTTTCGCTTTGAACGTCTTGGACGTGCTTTCATCTATCGACAGGTCTTCCACACTGCCAGTTGGAGATTGGACCGAATCGATGCTTCTCTCATCAATACCTGTACAATTTTTTTTTTTTTTTTTTCAACGTACAAAAGCTGGAAAAGTTATTATCATGGTTTTGACAAAATGACAAAAAGAGTACATACCTTGACATTCCGATACGGATTGCTTGGCGGAAGATTCGGACGCGTCGTCCGTTGTATTTTTCTGATCGACCGCGTCGTCCTTCTCCGTATTCTTGATTCTTTCCTCGTCGGATACGATTTTATTATCCGCGTTTTCGGGCGCTCCATTAACTACAGTATTATTTTCCACGTCGCTCTTAACGTCCTGATTATTTACACTTTTATTGTTCTCCTGTTTCTCATTCGTTTCCTGATTGTTAATCGCTTTGCCACATTCGTTTCCCTCTCTAGCGCCGTCCTTGTTGAGCTTGCTCTCAAACTTCTCGTTCTCGTTCTTATCAACGCTTCCGTGATCCAACGATTCTTGCATATCAACGATATTGCCAGCCTGCGAGATGGGCGTGGTAGCTGAATGACTCGCTCGGATTCTGTCGACCGAGCTCAAAATCTGAGATTCCTTTTCTTCGTCGACATCCGTAGTCGACTTGGGTTTTTGCTTCGTGTAACTTTTGTGCTTCTTGTTTTTGCTACGAGTGTTCTCCACGTTGTTTGTTCTCATTTTCTGTCAAAATTTGGGATATTAATAGTTTTTTTTTTTTCACGCACACAGATACGCACAAAAATCCAGGCTGTTGTAAAAAAAAAAACTCACTTTCATATTCGTCAACATTCGGGTGTCGTCGACAAAATGCGGCAGCCTGATGAACAAGTGTTGAACCATATCTCTCAAACAATATTCCGCTGCTTTTCGAAGTATTTCTGCAAGAAAGATGTGTGTCTTTTGTATTGCGAGTTTGTTTGCGACTCAGCAGAAACGTGAAACCCAACTTTCTGTACAACTCACCGCTCAGTCGCGTTTCAAAGCATATTTTGAAGCAACTCAGCATAATTTCGCACACGCTCTCGTTAGATAGATGATCGCCAATAGGTGACAGCATGAGAGTCTTCAAAACTTCCAGAATTCCCATGAGCACGACTCCGTCTGCCGAAGCGTCGGTTTCTATAAACCTAGCGTGCGTGACAGCGACTGCTATGGCCTCTACGCAGGATGCTATATCGGAATGATCTATGTCTGTAAAGCAACGGATGTTACAAAAGGAAAAGAGAGACAAAAGAACTTCTAAATATCATTACTCGTAAATCTCATTGGATTATTTCATTGTTACTTCGTTGGATTGCGAAACTGACCAATGAGACCATAAGAAATTATTGTGTTCACAGCAGACAGTGCCAGGCTGGTCACACGTCCTGTAGTTTCCTCCGATCTTATAATCTCCAAAAAGGGGGTGAGAAAAACCGCCGGTTCCAATTGGGACAGATCTCTGGGCTCGTTCAACACTTCTTTCAAGGTGTTCAAACCTTTCATGAGATTATCCTGGTTGTCGTCCTAAGAGAGCAAATTGAATTACAATATGGAAGAAAATCTCATTCCTCAAGATTTGTCATAATTCAATAATCAATTTTCATCTCCCAGCCCGTTTAAATCATGTGTGTGTGTGTGTCTGTGTGTGTGAATTGACTCAACATCTTGACACTATCTAATGTATGTCTGTTTCATTTGAACGAAGCTTCAGAGAGAGAGAACACGCGATGCTACCTAACAATTATCCAATTATACCACCGCGAGAACAATTGGCTAGAAGAGAATCTGAGATCTGGTTCTAACCTGATAGGAATGTGACGACCATCGGGCGCTTCGTCGCATCGCCGTCATCAGACGGGACACCTCACCCTCGACGACGTAAAGGCCGCCTCCCGGGCAGGAGGCAGCCGATCTCGTATTTGCCCTCATTCTGTCGAACACGTCGTGTCGTTATGCCATGACTCTGAACGCCCAGAGAGAACATCAACACACCTGGCACACAACTGGAACAAACCAGGAACGTATCGCCACACCGTCGTTTGCCAACGTCCGTCTGTCACGTCAAGTGGCCGACCAGCCACTTGCCACCACCACCACCACCACGCCACACACTTCCACCATCCGCGAGAATCAATCGACCACTCGGTCAAGATCGTTCGGTCGATTTGCGAGTTTGATACATCTCTCGACATTTGATCGACCAATAGAGCGAGGCTGGTTTTCACAGCGAAACCGGGTGCAAAACTTTGATTGGTCGGTGCTCGAATTGGTCGTCTTCGGAAAAATATCCACCACCATCTTGCGTGTTATGCGCCGTGATTTGTAACAAAGGCGGATTGCGTGTGTTTGGCACTTTGGCACACGTATCCGTGCTTCGAAGTCGGACGGTTGGACTTTGTTCTTTCTCTTTCATCGATCTCTTTTGCGATTTCTCGTGTCATCGACATCGAATTCAATCATCTCTCGCATTTGAGACAGTAGTTTTTTTTTTAAATTACAGTATATATATATATATATATATATATATATATATATTCGGAGAGTTGAAAGGAGGACAATACCGGAGGTAAGAGTTGTATCGAATGTGTGAAATCTGACGTTTGCTACGAGTAACCACCTGCGTTCCAAATATGAAAAGACAAAAAAATCGATACTTATCGATTTTACACGCCCTCGTGTGACTTAACAATTTCTTGCGCAAGCAACAAAGCTGCTATTATAAAAAAGTGATAAATAACCAACGCTGACTTAATTATCATTTATCGCGAAGCATTTTCATTGATAAATAATTGACTTCTAAAGAGATAACCAGAGGTTATCTCTCTCTCTCTCTCTCTCTCTCTTTTTCTTTTTTTTTTAAAAAGATAAAGAGATTATAATAAAACTTGTATTTGCGCGCACAATTTGAATGTAATATACTTATTATTTAACAACATAAATGTCTCTCAATCCAATTATATCCAATATTATTTAAACGAATATATTAAGACAACCTAACTTGTCCAAAGTCAAATCTTCAATCTGTTGTTACTCCGTTAAAAATTTTATATTTCTGTTTGGCGTGTAAACGTTTAAATAAAAATTAATTAGATCACAATTAATTAGATCTGACAGATACAGAGGTAACGAGTTTACAATTTCCGTAACTTCCCAGACAGCCAGATGTGAAAACTCAATATAAAGCAAATTATTGTATAGATTAAGTTGTTCGCCAATTGCCGTTGTGTTGTTTTTATTTAACGCAACGAAAATGTTTTTGTCAATTCGGTATCAATACGCTGAGTTTTGTTATCAGTCAATTGTTGTAGCCAATGTTTGTGACATGTGAGTCGGCAATATGTGAGCAATATATGAGCAATAATTTTTATTCACAAGTTGAGAAAAATAATATAAGTTTATTTTGCCGATGAGTCGTTGAGAACTTGCTGTTGTTATATTTTGAAAACTGTTGCTGGCAAGAACATATCGAAAAGAGGACACACCCTTTTTGTTACATTGCTGAAAACATATGAGCAATATTTGTGGCAAGTTGTCAACAACTTGCACTCAGTTGACTATCTGGGTTTTATTCACAAGTTGAGAAAAATAATATAAGTTTATTTTGCCGATGAGTTGTTGAGAACTTGCTGTTATTATATTTTGAAAACTGTTGCTGGCAAGAACATACTGAAAAGAGGACACACCCTTTTTGTTACATTGCTGAAAACATATGAGTAATATTTGTGGCAAGTTGCCAACAACTTGCATTCAGTTGGCTATCTGGGTTGATACTAGGACACTCTTAATATCTTATCTATTTAATGTTCTTTACCTTGATAGAGATTGAGAGAGATATAAAATCAGGTGTATCAACAGACACGCTTTTATTGTTACAATGTAATTTAATCTCGTGTGAGATACAGAGATGAAACAATAAATCTCATTGTTTTTATCAATGTCATATAAGAATAAACTCGGAGATTTGCGCTCTATTGTCGCGCGCCGCGTGTCTCTGCAAACATTTACTTGTGAAACAAATGGGGTGTGTGCATGAAAATTTTCTTTAAAGATTTCAAAACCGATTTTACACGGTCAACAACATATATACCGATGTGTCAACATCGCCGGTGTTTATCTCTGACAATATTATTGATGATTGTAACAGGTCCCCTTTCTCTCTCTCTCTCTCTCTCTCCGCAATATTTCGTCAATATAATATCGTCAATTGAGATATATAATTGACGATCGATACAGACAATATATATATTATTGTGGCGAGAAGTGATTAACACACAAACCGAGCGAGCGAGGCTGTAGAACGAGGCATAATGCAAATCAATGGTCCCTTTAGCTGAATAGAAAATGGGTTCAGTTTCCAGTACAAAACGATCCGTCATGCCTGCGACGCGCGACCTCGTCAACGACCTCATCGCAAAGGACTCGATCGTCATATTCTCCAAGTCCTACTGTCCGTACTGTAAAATGGCCAAAGAGGTACAAATTTCCACTTGAATTTGCACAGACCAAAGTCCGATGATTTATATTATCTTGCTAGTTCGTTTTTAAACGTTTGTGTGTGTTTCGACGAGCAGGTATTCGACAAGCTGAAGAAGAAGTACTCGACGATAGAGCTGGACGACAGGGAGGACGCGCAGGAGATACAGGATGTGCTGGGCGAGTTAACGGGCGCGAGGACGGTGCCCAGAGTGTTCCTCAACGGCGAGTGTCTGGGTGGCGGTACCGATGTGAAGAAATTGTTCGAGAACGGCGAGCTTGAAAAAAAACTTTCGACTCTCGCACACTGAAAACAACCTTCAGGACGCGAAGTGTCTTGTAACGAATTGTAATAATAAATATATTGTTTTAATTTTATAACAAAGTACATAATAATACGCTTTGCGCTCTCTTTGAGGCGACATCACGAGTGCGACAAACGCGCAACAGAAGAAGGTGATGATGTGCGCGATGAAATATTCAAGAAATCTATTTTTTTTTTTTTATATATATATATCGCTCCGAAATTTAAAAAACTTGTACTTAAAAATTTTGTATAAGATTCACAAATATGTGTGTACATAAGGCTGCGTCAATGTTTGTCATATATTTATCGCTGATGTAATTTGTGTTTCCGAAGCGAAGCGCATTCATTATCATTTGAATTTGTCTAAGTAATGAATTATGTATAACAAAATATGACTCGCGATATATAAACGTAAAAATAGAAAAACGTCTTTTGTTGCTACACTTTCTGCACTTTTTTTCTTTTTCCCCTCTTATTGAACGCATTTGATGTAAAATTTATTTTTAAAGCGAAAAAGGGTCGGAAAACGACCCTCGGTTGAGAGAAATCAAATTTGCTACGGTTGATCATCATCCCGACCACAATCCGAGCACCACGTGTCCGCCTACGATGACAGTAGCGCGAGCTCGCATCGCCTAAAAATACATCCGCAGTTGCGGGAGAACCGCGTTCGTGGATTCTCACACACACTTCGCCGCGCTCGGCCGAGAGCCGATCGTAAAAAAAAAAAAAAAAAAAACGAGAGTGAAAGAGATGGATCTGACGCGATATCGCAAGTTCGTTGTTTACGGACTGACGTTTCTGGCTTACGCCTGGTCCGGCTATGGTTCCGGATTGTTGTCGAATCTACGGGACGCCGTGCTCGCGGCGGAGACCGTCTTTCAGGACTTCTTCGCCAACGCCATCACCGTGGCGAGAAAGATCAAGGATCTACACGAGGTGTTCGACGCCGCCGTTGAGGAAAACTGCGTCTTCCGGTGTTCCGACGGTGCGTAATAACGTAATTCCCCACACACACGCGGTCGGTGTGATTCATTTTATATCAACATTTGTTTTATCAGGTTATCCTCTCGTTAATCGCGCCGCCATTGGTCGGATTTTAATCGATTCGTCCCGGAGAACCCGCGCGGGAAGAAAAAACTTATTTCAAACTGCACTCTCTGCACCTTTCGGACATATACTCTCGCTCCGATTCTAATAATTTTCTTTTGATCTTAGAATTCGAAAAATGCAATTATAAATAAATAAATAAATTCGGAAGAACAGTTAGCGCGTCTTAAATTTATATATTTGTATTTTTATAAAAATTATAAATCTGTGTAAACAAGGGTTTAAAAGAAGTACGTGAAACTTGATAGTTTTGACAGAGTGTTTTAATTGGACACGTTTCAAACACACACACAAACGTCCTGTTTAAACATTTCAGGATCCACGCCAAAGCCGGACTGGTATCACACGCCGAAAAGTAACGGATGCGGTTCTCTCGGAATAGAGGTCGGTGTCGTTTCCTCTGGAAAAATTTTTATATCGAAAGCAAATTGCGCCGGTAACTAAGAATCACCGTCGTACGACGTAATATATTGTTGCGAAATATTTTTGCAGGTAAATCAGGAGTATCTGCCGCTGGCCGAGATGACCAAGTGCTGCGACTTTCACGACATTTGTTACGACACCTGCAACACGGACAAAGAAAAGTGCGATCTGGAGTTCAAGAGGTGTTTGTACAGATACTGCGACGGTTATCAGGCAACCGGTGTGACGATGGTAAACGCGTGCAAAGCGGCGGCTAAGGTGTTGTACACGGGAACGACCGCGTTGGGTTGCAAGAGCTATCTCGACGCTCAGAAGGAAGCGTGTTTTTGTCCGGACAAGAAAACCAAAGGCAAACCGAAGAAAGCGAAACAAGCTGGCGGAGAAATTTAACACACTCGTGTGTATTTATATAAGTACAATTGTAAAATATATTTATATGAAGTATATTTATATGAAGTGTATATATAAATTAAAAATAGAATTAGATATTAATATATTATTCTCTTGGCACACGCGCGTGTGTGTGTGTGCGCGCGCGCAAGTAACGTCGCGCTTATATTTGTTATAACGTACATACAATAATATATTCGTTGAATTTATAAAAATAAAAAAAAAAAAAACATCGAACATACCCGTATGAAGTTTATATCGAGATTGTGTTAGTCTTTTGGAAAAAAAAAACAAAAAACAAAAAAAAAACAAGGAACGATTTTCTCGCGACCGAAACGTCAATGCGACAACTGACTCTTCGGGCAAATTCGTTGGATCGGTGAAGATACAAATTGTTGTTAAGTGGCATTAAATTGATAAATTGTCAAGTGGCGAAAAGAATCGTTGTCACTTTCGTAATACGCGAAACTCCACATTCGCGCGATCGTGTGAATAAAGAAATCAAATAAATCACAGATCGTAAAAGAATCAAAGAATAAATGGGAAACGCGAAGTCCGCGCAATCCCCCGGGGTTCAAAAAGATCAGAAGAAAGGTAATCGCGGCGGGTAAGATTATTTCTGTCTTTACGACGGAATAAAAAAAACAATTTGTCTATTGTGATATGAAGATTTTTTTTTTTTTTTTTATTATTATTCCCACTTCGTGGGAAAAGGAAGCTCGTAGTCGTTAGAGAAGCACGCGCGCGCGCAAAAGCGTACTTTGCAGTTTTACCTTTCACGTAGCGCAGATACCAGAAATGACGGACAAACCGCGAGCGGCAGAGCGAGGGCCGGCAAGGGCGACGCGACGATTGTACACGACGACATTCGAGCGACAAATCCGTTCATCATCTTTTTCCTGCGATTGCGTAACAGAAAACCGAAAGAACACGTCACCGTGGTAGCGCGAGCCGCGGGCAAACTCTGGTGCCAAATGACGCCGGAACAGAGAAAGAAATACGTGGACCTCGCTAACGAGGAGAAGAAACGCCGGCAGGAGAGGAAGAGGAAGAGAAAACGTTTGTCCACGCGAACGAGGTAATCCGAGAGAGAGAGGAAGGATACTTCGAATGCACAACCACATTGTTCGAAAAGAGAAAATTCAGAAAAACTTTGCGTTCTTTAAGATCCGAAGTTATAATTTTCGACTAAGAAAAAATAAATTGCTTTTATTTAAAAACAAATTTATAAATTAATTAAAAATTTAATTAAAAATGTAATTAAAAATTTAATTAAAAACAAATTGTTATATCGATATTGTATCATTATATTACATTATGTTTAAAAAAATTTCTATATCATTATAATTAAAAAATTATACAACTTGAAAGGTAAGATATATAAAAAAAGCTGACCCTTTGTACTTTTATGTTCAGGATGAGATAGGGAAGCGAAAGCTAGCGAGAGAATGACTGAGCACGCGCAACAGGGTGATTTTCTTTGAGCTCTACTACGCGCCGTGTGTGTTGTCGGTTGACCTGAAAACAGAAAACTGTGAGGCAATTAAAGAATTTTATACACAGATATTTTTGATTTTGTTTTTATTTGTTAGTTGATTTTTTTAAATCTATGTACAATAAATATTGGTATATTTTTATACACTATTAATAATATATCTTATCGTTTAGTTGCTCTAAAACTAGATCTTGCTGTATTTTTTTCCTTCATATCTCGTTTTTTTTTCTTCGTTTGAAAAAATTAAATTCGTAACCGCTTCGTACCATAAATATATATATGTATATATATATATATATATTATATTTCTGGATGCGACCGTTTCGCGAAGCGTCGCCCAACAAGAGAATTTGCAGGATCAGGGAAAGGGTTGTGGATTATACACAATTCGCGAGAGTTCACAAACGCACACGAGTGTGCACGCGCTCGGGCGGGCATTTCGCGATATTTCCCCCCCTCCCGCGTTCGTTTTTCTCTTTTTCTCATCGCGCGCAAAGAAAACCGCGCGCATTCCTTCCTCTCGCAAATTTCGATACAAAAAATAAATTTCATCACAAAATGTCCTGCGACGCTCCGTGGAAAAGCTTGATTGCGCGCTCTCTCTCGTGATAAAAATCTTCACTTCTCGAAACTAGAGCTATCCTCATTCTCTTGCAATACTACGTAATAAAAACATATGATAATGAATAGAGTGAACGAATGCGTGTGTGTGATTTTTCATCGTATGTGTTAAAATATAAATGTGTGAAAACGTGTTGTGTGTCGTGTATGCGTGTATGTGTGCGCCGCGTGTAAATATACGCGCGCGCGTTTCTTTATCACTTGTTACATCATAACGTAGACGTTGCAGCACGTCTGACGATAATAAATGATTAATAGGTTTTAATCAAATCTCGAGTTAAATAATAATCATAACAATTGATAAAACATCCTTGAACGATGGGCGATTTGCCGAACAATTTCGACAAATTTCAAATACAAGATGTGAGAGACGACGTCGACGACGATGATGTGATAATTACTCGATATTTTTTCCCCCCCTCCCCGTAATACCAGATTAGATACGTACGATCTAGATACGTACTTTTTTCTTTTTTTCTTTTTTTTTTTTTTATATAATACAATTTTCTTTTCAAAAGTACACTGTGCCTCGAAGAAAACTTAAACAACAACGCTTCAACAATCGATAATATCAAACATAATTCTTATAGTCGTAAATATATTTATATATATATTTGTGTATGTACATAAAACGTAACGCGCTGTTCTCGAAGGAATGCCCTACTAAAAAATAGGTGTTCGCGTATTATTATTATTATTATTATTATTATTATTCTTTTTTTCCTCCGCCACTTTCATATTTTTTTTTTTTCTTTTCTTTCGTCGTTTGTAAGAAAAAAGAAAGCGATAAAACACGCGATATCTTGAGCCGGCCGAGTACCAATTTCGTCCAAGATACTAAACGTTTTATTACCTCTTTTTCTTCTTTTTTTTTTGTTTTTGTTTTTGTTTCGGCTATTTTACACGCACAAGTTTTTTTTACGAACCCATGCCATCAAAAAATTACCAATCGTTAACTATGATTAAATTGTACCATGTGTGCAATGTTTTTGTCGACAAGTTTGAGAATCAAAAATTTAATAACGAGTCTTCCTCGAGCACAGAAAAAGAAAGACTTCTCCCGCTGTTGAAGAAGGGAAGAGAGAGAGAGAGAGAGACAGAGACAGACAGAGAGAGAGAGAGAGAGAGAGAGAGAGAGAGAGAGAGAGAGAGAGAGAAGAGATAGAGGGAAGAGATAGAGGGAGAAAAAAAAAAGAAAAGCGAGAAAGTACAAGATTAATTATTCCCTCTCCTGTTAAAACTGAGTACAAAAGTTAAAACGGTCTTGGATAAAATGTCTTCGTAAAGTGCTGAAGTACGTCGGTGCACGCGTAGAGATAGATACAGAGAATTGTAGGTACACCGATATATTTGACATATTTACGAACACACAATTCCAAATTCGAGCTAATATAAAGACTTAAATACTTGTATATCTGACAAGAAGCGAGCTTTTGTCGTGCAGGTTGTTATTTTTTTTTGTTTTTTGTATTTTTTTTGTATTTTTTTTTTTTTTTTTTTTTTTTTTTTTTTTTTCTTCTGAGACCGATTTAAAATCCTCCATGGAA